CATCCTACCTACATTAGATGCAGACCAAAAATGCTTTCTACATAATAAAGAATGCAGTCATCGTAATTGGTATTTCAATACCTTTTGGTGGTAACTATGATAAACAGCATTATACATTTACATGAAATTGCAGTAATATCAGGACATACATTTGTATCAAAACTGGGGGCGGGAATTTAGCAACAAAACCAACATCCTGCATCAGCACTGTGGCAGCAATGAGCAGCTGTTAGCTAACACTTTGGGCGTCTTCTTGCAAGGCATGGCTTCTACTGTTATCAGAAATCACAGGCACTCTCTACCATCCCTCCTCACATCCTGAGGTCCTAATGCTACTCTGGATATTTGCCTCTAAAACATGTTCTAAGCAGAGCTAAAATATAGAGCCAAAAAGTCTGCTTATTCTTGCTTGGTTCTTAACCATTTCTTTAGGGATCAGCATATCTGAAAGTTAGTGACTTTCCTTTTGATTTCTGTCATATTATGTCAGCCTCTGTGTGGGTAATTTTCTTTTTAAAACATTCTGATAGAGGAACATATGGTTCTTTCATTGTTCAACATTGTGGTTTAATTCAGCTTACAGGAATCAGCACAGAGTCAATAACTGCTCAGTATGGGTTTAATCTGGGGCCTCTTTATTCAGTTTTATGCAGAAAAAGACTTGGTGAAGATGGGGAACAATAAACCTGACGATGAGAAAATAGATTTATTTTTCCTGTCTTGTGTGTCTCTCATGAAGGTAACATGCTTGACGTGCCAGGTCACATGGGAATAGCACATGATGCACCCTGTGTGTCACACGGTACCCTGTGTGTCACACAGCAACAGAGTGGCTGCTCTATTTCACAGAAAGCAGTGAAAGAATTCTTACCAAGAATGTAACCAAGAAATTGCACGTTGGAAGCTTCTTGATAGCTGTTCTGAAAAGCTGATGATGTATGTGTTTCAGTCGCTTGTCAGATGGATCCCATCAGTACTCCACTGCACCATATTCTGAAGCTGCAATTCAGTCCACTGAAAACCCCATAAACATATGATTTCTCCTGTACAAACCAAAATGGCTTGTAATATCCTTAGACAAGGCAGTGCTGAACTGAGCCAAAGCACTCACTTTCTGGTGGAATTAACATCTTTAAGTCTGTATTTTCTTCATGGTGTCGAATACAGATTTAAAGGTGAAAAAAAAGTGCAAGAAAATTAAACAAAAAGAAAAAATTCTAGCCTGAATGTGTATACATTTGCCCATCTAATACAATCTGCAACAACTATAAACAACTATAAATATTTTGCACTTTATTCTTTTGCAAATGCTATTTGCCTGGCTAGAATGATTATGAAATAAACTTGCTTACTGTATATTCCACCAGAGTAACAGTTTTAGAATGATATATGCATTTTTATGCATCTAACAACGATAGCTTCTTTAGTCAGGGAGGAAAGGAGAGGTGAAAACAAAGATTTGATAACAGGTTGATCTTTGAGTTTCATTAGGCTGGAATGTCATACTGCATCAAGTAGGAAGGACTTGGTGGAGGGGAGACCTGTATTTGAACCCATTTCCTTCAAGATTTTAGCACTCTCAGCACGTTTATCTGTTGATAATACTCATATTACTTTTGCTGGGTAGCCAAAGCTGTATGTGCAGAAAAATAAATATCTGAATTGAAAATTTAACAGACAATTCAGTTATAGTGTGTATTTTCAATGTACTGTTTTACAGATATTTACTATATAAACTACTGGACGTGACAAAAAATAAGAGATATTTTGGTGATAGGAAATATTCCTAAATTATAAGATCATAAAGCATTAGAGGATCACAGGGGTGATTTTAGTGCTTGAAAACACTTTTTAGAGGACCTTATAAAGTAAGTGACTTTGAAATAGATTATTTGTATATCAATTCAGTGTATAACTTAATATATAAATCTGAACATGAAATCACAGTAATTTCTTGACAGAAGTCACACTATGCTTGTTTGTTACAATCTGTCAATGACTATAAATTAATATGAAACTAATTATGCTACTGCAGTGTTTGGGAGATATTAATTCAGCTCACATATTTTCTAGAATCTCCTACTGACAGAGAGAAAACAGTTTAATTTCTCTCTTGTTCAGCTCACATCTCCAAATTAGCACAGAGACGGCCTCTTTCTTTGTACCTCTAAAGTACCTTGCACATAGGGACTTCTGAGTGACTAGTGTAAGAATCACTCATCTAGAATCTAGACTATTCCAACTTGGCCAGTGAAAAAAACTGCAGAGACTGCGTAAGTCTGCTCCTGGAAGAATGAATCACTGCTTCTTCCTGAGAGGAAGCTGCCAACAGCTCTTGCGGGGGACACACAACACCACACACTTTACTCTGATGTCTGCTAAAGAAATCTCTTCTAGACTGTACTCATTTGGCTAGCAACTGACTCACTGAGATCATAGAATATATTGGTTGGAATGGGCTTTTAAAGGTCTTCTAATCCAACCCCCCTGCAATAAGTAAGGACATCTTCAACTAGATCAGGTAGTGCAGACCCCAGTCCAACCTGGCCTGGGATGGTTCCAGGGATGAGGCATCTGCCACCTCTCTCGGCAATCTGTTCCAGTGTTTCACTATCCTCATTGTAATAACCTTCTTCATTTCATCTAACCTAAACTGACCTCCATCAGTTTAAAACCATTACCTCTTGTCCTATCAGAACAGGCCCTGCTAAAAAGTTTGTCCCTGTCTTTCTTATATGCCCTTTCCAAGTGCTCAAAGGCAGCAGTAAGTTCTCCCTCAAAGCCTTCTCTTCTCCAGGCTGAACAACCCCAGCTCTCTCAGCTATTCCTCAGAGAAGAAGTTGTGTAATCATCCCTCCATCCACCTAATCATCTTGGTGTCTCTCCTCGGGGCTTGCTCCAACAGGTCAATGTCCTTCCTGTGCTGGGGACCCCAGAGCTGGATGCAGTACTCCTGGTGAGATCTCATGATGGCAGAATCTCTCAACCTGCTGGCCATGCTGCTTTTAACATAGTCCAGGATATGGTTGGCTTTCTTGGCTGCAAGCGCACATTGCTGGTGTGAGATCCCTTCTCCTACAGCATCGCTCCTATGCTAAGCGTAATGATAAAAATATCTCAGCCAGTGACTGTGGCCAAAAACCTAGTAAATTACAGATGACTTAAAGCTTTGGTGGCCTTTGACATTGCGGAGCATGTGAAATCCCTGACACAGCTGCATGACCTGGCTCAGAGAGAGAAATGCCTTAGTGTGGTTTCACTGATTTCTCACTAAATGTTCCCAGATGGTAGCAGACGGCTTTTCCTTCTATTAAGGGTTCCCAGATGCAACATGCAACAAGCAACTGGTGCTGATCACCTCTCCTGTCCAACATCTGTAGCGAGGCTGTGGGAATGATCATGATGCAGTATATGGACTGAAGTTATTAATATCAATGCTACTTTATCTATTATTTCAATCTGGGAATAACACCTGCCCTCTGACACACCTAATATTGAGAACATACTACGAGAGAGATGAAAACCACCTTGACGAAGCTCAAGTCCAAACATATAAAGATGATATGAATTAGAAGAGAGAGCCTTTGGAGGATATAGTGAATCAAAGAATGAATGTAGAGGTTTCTGGGATGGATTGGAGGAGTCCAAGAAATAAAGAGGCTCATTTTGATGATCAGCATTCCCAGAAGGACTATAACGTTGTAGGAGTCAAACCCCAGCAGTCTTCTGCCCCTTCTACTTTTACCTCAGTATGTGCCTTTTCTCTATGATGCCAGTGAGCACAGGATGTGGCCATGTTGACTATTCACCTCTTTGGGAATCCTACACCTTGAGGAGCCCCAAGTGTGCTGATGGTATTCACACCCCTTGGCCAACACAAGTGTCTGAAAGAGATTGTTTGCTTTGGAGCAGCTATCATGATATTCCTACTTTGGGAAGAAATATATTTTGTTTTCAGACCTTAGAAAGACTGGAGTTACTCAGTGTTTCTAAACATTTATGTTGCAGTAGTCACTTTTGACAATTTGCCCATTCTTTCCATGAGTCACAGCTTTTCATAGACCCTGCAAAACATAAATCCAGGCAAAACCTAAACCTCCTCTCCTTACTCGCCTTTTCAGGCCTTCCGTATGTGTGTGTGTGTATGACCTCGAGAAAGACACGTTTTTCCTTTGCGGGCGCAGCTGCAGCCGTGTCCTGCAGCCCATCTGCAGGACCG